CTTAATGATTCTATGATTCTATGAACTTACACCCCAGCCTTTTTGTAACTGGCACGTAACCTTTGCATTAGGAAGACAGCCACATTTTATCCTGCCAACACCATTTGTCCTACTAAACTTTACTATAACAGGGCATGAACAACAAAGCTCAGTAGGAATGCATGCCCTTCTAAACGCATACATAAACTAAGCCATGAAAATTTCCATCAAAATTTAGAGACCTGCATTCTTTAAGCTCTTATTTTTATGTTTAGAGTAAGAAGCCTGCTCTCTCCTACATTTCTCTTTTTTTTTTTAAAAAAAAAAGTATGTTCAAAGAGCAAATATCATATAAAACAAAATCAGCAATAAAGCCCATCAGTTAAGAATCAGCAATTAAAGGGCAAAAACGGTGAAAGGACAGTTTAGATTTATTTAGCCGAAAGACTTTTATTGCTATTACTAATCAGATTTTTCTTTAAAGATTAGACCATTTCTCTACACAGTCTACCTGCACTTTTTAACCTGATTATATCCTATTACAGACGTTCCCATATTGAAAATAAGTTCCAAATGTACATGAAAATTGTTTAGAGCTTCTGGGCATGTAAAAGAAACAGGACACATTGGCTCTTACACATGTTTTAAATTGAATTTGAAATAAAGTCTTTGCTTCGCCTTGTCCTCCTGCCCTCCCTCTGAAAAAAAAAGAAAGCGTGGTTGCTGTTTTCTTGTTTTTAAACCACAGCACTGTCCTGGGCTATATAACTTTACAGCTAGGTTGCAAGACTAAATAGAGCACAATTGCCTGAAAATTTTGGAAACTGCAGACCTGAAAAGTGAACAGCAGCAAGATTCCACATCTGACTTTAGTTTACTGTTAAAAACAGCTACAGTGATGGGAAAACAACACAGGCAGGAACAAACTGAATGTTGGACAAAAATTCACACTGAAATAGTTCTCAGCTAAAGATCACTATAAAATTTGCACAGTCAACAGAAGCACTAAGTTTATTAAACACTAAGTTTCCATTCGTCTTAAGTACTTTGCTCTTTCCATTCCTCCATTGTTTCTTCCTTTCTGAAGGTAAATCTATCACTCTGAAGTCCAAGGTCCTCTTTTTTTTTTTCCTCCAATAAAACCCTTCAACCCATTTTTCTTTATCCCTTCCCTCACTTGCTCCTTGTTAGTTTTCTCTTCTGCAGTTTTCCAGTTGATGCAGTAGCTCTTCCAAAACTTTATTTCCTCCATAATTCACAAATAGATCTTTATCTTCTTCCATTATTTTTCCTCCTGCACAGAAATATTTTTATTTCATGGTATAATCTGTGTGAAAAGCCACCTACTGTCATGATACGACCCTTCATGTCATTGTCTAGTACTGGAAAAGAAATTGTTTCCAACTCCCTCTTGCAGCAATTGTACCCCAACTAAATACAGTTTGATCCTTCTCCAGGCCCTTACCAAGGCTGGCTTTGGAAAGTCATCTTAGTAGCTCCCTCTGTATTCATAGTTAGAGGTCTACTGTTTCTAGTTCTGAGCAGGATATGAGCCTGAAGATTTCTGGCTAGTCTTCATATTCGTAGGAACATGAAAGTTTATGCTACAAAATGCCTTACTAAGGCGTGTAGTCCCAAAAGCCCACAGTGCTGCTGCTGCTGTTGCAGGGAGAGGCAGAGGAGAAACTCAGCATAAACCAAGAAGCGTTCAGATGGTTATCCAATTTGAATAAAAATCCATAAAGCCCCACCTTTAACTGCCTGGCTTTTTCAAGAGGAAAGAGATGACAACTGCATCTGCCATTCTAACAAAACAACCTCAGCATTGTGCTTGTCCAGAGCACAGCCCAACCTCTTGACTCATTAATTGGACAATTCAGCCAATATCAGCTTTTCTACAAAAGCTCTGCCATAGCAGGTTGAAAAGTTTCAGGACAAAGTTTCAAATTTCTACTTACTTTGTCCTCCCCTACTGTCTCTTTTAAATACCCCAGTGGGCCAGTCTAAGCTCTGGTTGCCCTAATATCCTGTCATCAATATTGGTCACTGATCAATGTTCACAGACAGCACATAGGAAACTGGATTAGTAGAGGAGGGGTATTTCTCCTCCTACACTTCCCTTCTTTCAGAGATTTACATTTAGTGTTTTCGGATTTCATGCATCAGGTGGATTTCCCCACCCCTCAGTTTGTCAAATTCCTTTTTAAACCAGTTCATACTTCTGGCCTCAGCAGCACCCTCCAGTAACAAGTGCCACAATTCAGTGATATGCTCTTCTAAACCTGCAGCACAGCAAATTTAAGTCAGTATCCTTGGTTCTTATGTTACAAGAAACAAATAGCAATTGCTCCCCATTCACCCTCTCTACACCATTTATAATTCATATAGCTCTATCAGCAGCTTTTTCTCAGCAGTCTTTTTCCTCAAGCTGAAATCCTAGCATACTTCACCTGCCTCATACAGACACAGTACCACATCTTCAACCATCCCTGCTGCTCTTCCTGTGTCCCACTGGGACAGAAGTAAGAAGAAATAGACCCAAACACAGGTCTCATGGTACAAAGTTACAACTCCTCAATCACTTACAAGACAACATAATAATGTCTTCTAGTTTGTTCTCTGTTCCTTCCCAAATAATTTCTAATCTTCCTTAATACTTTTGACCACATGATGAATGTGGAAAGATCTGTGCTGCTAAAGAGCTTATGGCTAATCTAATTTACATGTTAATTCAGCACTTAAACTACTACTACAGAAACGTAAGTTTTCCATGACATAACTTGATCTCTAACATTTAAGGACATAGAACGGATAAACAGTGTTATCAAGACAATAACCTGTTTTGATTGCTTCAACCAGCTTGTCATTCTTCTCTCCTTCAAGCAGTCTGTGGTAATATCCAGGATTTTGTTCCATGTTGGTTTGGGCCCCACTCACAATCATCCAGATCAATGCACGGTGTTCATTGGGGATGCCTTTCCTGATATATCTCTTCACTGCAAAACAAGAAGTTTGGTGTGGTTTGTTTTTTTTTTTTTTTTAAAATCCAGCTGTATTTTTCTTTTGGAAATGAGCAACAGAAAGTTGAGAAGTCATAGGAAAACTCTTGACTAGAGATTATTATGCTTTCTCTCTTATGCTACCATTTATGATAAGCATTTCCTTCTCAGCTACACAGTATATTTTAGATTCACTTCTAAGTTCTTGCCACTCGGTCTCCCCACACAGATCTCCAGACGCAGGCTTTCCTCCCTCCTCTATGCCCCCATTACATTTTGAATCCTTTCCTCTTCTTCCTGCCTTTCTGGATAGAGATACGAACAGCAAAGTCTCCCCTTGATCTTTGTCCTTTTTCATTCAGATGGGCACTTTTACATTACCAATGTCCTCTGACATGGCAGTCCTTTCTGTTTGCTTGGTTATGCTCTAGCATAAATGGCTATGTTAACATAACCCTAGGATTTCAGCTTAGCACCTAACCACTGAAATCGTAGCAGAAACTGAGAAATATGGAAGAGGTGGCTACTGTCTAAATGAGCCTCTGGAAGAACTGGAGATGTGAGTGAGCAGCAGATGATTTTTCCTAGAATAACTGGGGAAGTCTTTTCAAATCTAAAGTAGCTCTTATCTCCTGCATCATATTTATCATCAGGGTGTGCTCTGGGTTTTTTTTTAAGCAGATGATTCAGGGTAAATAACTAGGATGCAAGATTGCAGGAAGAAGCATCAGGCTAATGACAGCCAAAGCAGCTTCCTCCTGGGAATGGTATGAAAAATATTAATAAGGAGCCAGTGCTGCTCATTGGTACGTAATCCTAAATCAGCATTACTTCTTCTGACCCAAAAAGACAGCTGAATGTTTGAGATCCTTCTGCTTTTTCCACAGAGAAGAAATTGACAAAGGAGCCAGGCTTTTCTTACTAAATGAATGAGACTGTATCAATTAGAGTATCAACGTCTCCTCCCTAAATCCTATGGGACTCAAATGAGAGTGGGGATTTTTATTCCACACACACAGACACATACAAAATATCATTACCTAACCTGGTTTTATCCAATCACAAAGATCTGTAACTCAAGATAAATGCTGCCTGAATTAAAGGCCTTAAAAACAGCAGAGTGAAACGAGGTTTTACAACAACTCAGCCAGCCACCTTCTGAATACATTGCACCTAATTGCAGCTGCCTATCGTTTAGGAGCCAAAGCTGCTTTCCCAGTGTCAACAGAAAGATTCATGCATCTCCAGTGGGCATTTCCCCCATCTAAAAATCTGGTACTTTCTCTCAAAGAAACACTCCTACCCTTAACGTTTGCAATAAACACCTGGTCTTCAGGGTACAGTTTTTGTTTAGCTTTTCGATGATGTCTAGTTTAACCTGGCAGGCAGCCAAATACCAAAACACAGCACTAGGAAGAAATTTAACTCTATCCCAGCCGAAACCAGGACAGATGACATAATACTACAGGTTGCAGTCTCCACTGTTTTAGCTGTGAAGTAACTTTAACTGTAACCTTCTTTCAGGCAGACTGGAAATAATTTACTTGTTTCCATGGTTGTTTAATAATCCCCACTTCATCTTTTTTACAAGATTTTGAACTCTAATGCTCAATGGACATAGCAAATGCAGGAATGAATATGAGGAAGCAGTCCCATTTAGGTCAACAAGAAGAGACGTTCGGATGATCCTGCGAACGTCTCTAGAAGCAAACTTACCGGCTAAATTACTGGATTATCATATTCTAACATATAATTCCAATGGCATTTTTTTCTGGAACAACTGTTAATTCTGAAAGCATAGCCAACATCCACATCCAACAATACACATTAAATTCAAGAGAAGCAGGGATAAGCCTTTGACGCTGGCACAAGGGGAAAGCAGCCCTGCAGCACAGCATGCACTCATTATTCCTCAGTGTCATCGTTCTCATGGTAATAGACAGCCAGAGGCTTGTATTGCCCCAAATGACTACCTACCCCAGCTCCCCCACTCCCTGAGGAATGGAAAAGCCCTTTACATGGTGCTTTTCTTCCTCACACCATTATCATACTTGCCAGGATCTGCAAACTGGCATACAGAAGCAGCAAAGTAGTTCTGAAAATAGGGACAGTTGCAATTGAATGTTTTATATACACATATTTTATTCATATATGTCATATTCTATACATAAAGTTGTACTGTTTTATACAAATATGTATTTATTTTGTTTTCTATAGGCCCTCTTCCACATTACCCTCAGGAACTAAAAAGCCCACAACAACAGTCCACACCACTTCCACTGTAACATTTAAGAAGCTTTCACAGCTGAAGCCGGATTGTGCACGTGTCTCCAACCACACATCCGACTCCAATGTAAACCAAGGGCTTGATCTCAAAAGTAGCACTGCTGAATACCACCAAGCCCCGAGTATCCTCACACAGAATCACTCCCAGGACAGCCACAGTGTACACAATGCAGTCTAAGTTTTAAAATATGTGTAGTAAAGAAATATCTTTATGTGAAATTTTTGTCTCTGTTCATTAACAAAATATGAAACATCAATTTTTAAGCAAATAAAAGCAGTCTTAATAATTTCATTACCTCTGATGCCCAGTGCCAGTTTCTGCAGGTTTAGAGTCACACTTTATTAATATGTTTTTCTCGTTACAAGAAAAAACAGCTACAGGATAGGGTAGTAGTCTAGAAGTGCTGATAAATACCCAAAGTAACTTCAAGAGAAAAATACGCAGAAAATAACATTTTCCAATACTGTGCACTACTTATAGTAACAAGATTTAAAAATAAGTAAATCACTTTAAACCTGCCTGTCCTTGTTCAGTGGTAGAACATGAGAATTTTGGAGGTTTTTACTTCTAGGTAAAGTCGTATTTACCTCCCCCACCCCCTTACATTGTTTCACTCTACACCATAGACTAAGTTTATGTATGAAAACCCCATTTAAAAACAAAAATTATCTTGTCTAAAATATTAGAAGAGTGTGATTTTGAGAAGCATCTGAGCTTTTCAGTTACTTTTTCAGTTACTAACAATTACTGTTGAATACTGAGGAAACTAACTTGGACCCTAGAGGAAAAATTCTACAAAAGAGCTGAAAACAGCATATAACAAGGAATTGAAAGTTTTATTTTATGAATACATCACAGAAGAAACAAAGCAGATCTGTGCTGTAAATGTTCAAGTTACAGTCAAACATGAAAACTGACTTTCTAAGATGCTCCTTCCTTCCTCCAACCCCTGGGCTGGAACAGAAGTGCTCCTGTTATAACCACTGTTTAGTACCCATGCTTTCACCTTTGACTGTATTTTATCAGCCTCAAAGACTAGAAAGCACCTTCTGCTACTGGTCAGTTTTGACTAATCCACTTACAGCCAAATTCTTTTACGTAGCACGCTTTTGGTCAGAATTAAGCTACTTTGGGCAATTATGTCAGTTTGTTGCCCGCCTGTAAACAAGCTAAAGCAGAAAGCTGTCTTTAGGTCCCATAAAGACAGCAGCTGAATGGAGAAAAGCAAAAATTAAGAGGATCTCAGTAGTGGTGGAGAGAGAGAGGAGGCAAGTGACCAAACACTGACTGAAAATTCACATGTGCAGAGGAGACAGTGAAGATAACAAGGGCAGAGGGGGAAACAAAATACCAGAAAATAAGAAAAAGGAAGAGACTGGAGAACGAGCAAAAGGAACTATCAGCCAAAATTCCCATGACCCACCCTGCCGGAAGGCTGTAATCCAGAACAACAGGATACACTGCTTAATTACTGTTGTTAAAATGTAGTCTAATTATTTTTATTCAGAGTAGAACAGAATTATATACATACATACCACCCTGGATGTGAGGCAAACACAGTAGCATGTGAACACGCCACATTTCCAAACTGGAAAATTAACACAAGTCATCACTTCTTCCTGTTCACCCGGACAGGAATTATGAGCTTCTCTATGTGTAAAGGCATATGGGTGTGGAGCTACTGAGACACCACACGTACAATGCCGCTCTCACGTCTATGCATTTTGAAAAGGCCCCAGTAGAACTCAAAATAAGGATATAGGGTTCGCAGATACAGCTATTGTGTTTGGGGGGGAAGTAGCAAATCAAATAGTCTTCTCAGTTCTAGCTTATGGCCAACTTGCAGCAGAGGGGAAGTTAATCAGAACCAGCAGCTCCTGAGCAAAGCTTCAGAGCAATGAATCAGGTCCTGGAGGAGGGAAATTCAGTGCATCACCAGGCAGACCTTCTGCTCTCTGCCTGCCTGCAAGGAAATCACTGCAGGATCATCTCGCACGATAAAGCACGCATGCACACATTTACATAATTCTAAGTGCATATGCCACGGACTTCAATCTTAATACTGATATAAGAAGGGAAGTATTTAAAAATCAGTAATTGTACAGGTTAACCTGTTGCTCTCCTCTTCTGAGGTATCAGTTGAGGATAATGAGGGAGGCTTATTGTAATAGCTTCGAATTTACACTCAGACTACATTTCCTCAACATTATTTATTCCAGCACTCTCCTTAGAATTACATATTACATATATACATGAGAATGCATACTCTACAAATCCAAGTATCTTTAGCAAAAGTTAGTAACGTCACAGATGATACACCAGCCCGCAAGGGCTTGCCACAGTCAAGAGCCATTGCCCGTGTCCACTCAGTGGATTTATGGTATCCCATTTTTCACAAACAGTAGCCTGTCAGAGACGATTAAAATCACGTTAATGGTTACTGCCATTACGTCGCTAGTGGGGCAGTATGACCATCGGTACTGAAGCTTGGTGGACAAGTTGAGAGATTTGGTCAAAGTTTTGGCTCCAAAATAAGACCAAAAGCATTCACACTGTTTTTATCATAGTAGCATTCTGTGTCTACAACGCTGGAACAGGGAACACAAGGGAAGAGAAATGTAACAAACTCACAGAAATTTCTAAAAGCTGCTACTGTCACAGTTCACACATTTTAAGAGAAAAAGGAGATGAATCAAAACCTGAGATTATTTTTCCACAACTAGAAGACTAAGTTCTGCAGAATCTCAAAATTCTCACTAATTCAAAATACCACACAGTTATTGCTATATTCAAACTTGACACTCTAAGCAAAAGCTTCTTCACTTTTGGAAGAAAAAGAAGAGAGTAGAAGTAGCTACTTTCTGGTTAGCAGAATATGATCTAGCAGCTATAGCTCAAACCTACATTTTCTGGGATTCCTCAGCCTTAAAATGGACATCCATACACTAAATACACTGTTATACTTAAAATGTCTCACTAGTTACCATCGCACTCTTGGTGCCAAGAAAAAAAAAACAACGACCCCAAAACAACAAAACCACCAGAATTAGCAGTAAAAGTCTGCACCTGAAGCACAGCTCTAAATATTCAACTATGTTACAGTCAGTGCCTGATTAACTTCTGCTTAGTTTTACTCACTTTTTCTTTAACATAGAGAACTCTGCCCAGCTCCAAAAGACTCCCAAGAGAAAGCAAGCTGAATAGTATTCATTAAGAGCAAAATTAAATGAAAAAATAAGCCAGAGAAAGAGTGGGAGGAAAAACCCCCACCCTTTAGTTTCACAGGATTCCCTGCCACCTTCCGATTCCCTCCATTTATTTCCCCCTGTCTCTCTTGCAAGATGAAACATTACTAGAGGTTTTCTTGCTTTTTGAAGCAGCCGTTAACAGTTCCATCAGCATCTTATCCAATGTTGCATTAGCTCCTGCATTAATTTTACTTTCTTCACTTGTAAGGCATTTAGCATCAGTTCTTAGCACACACCTTTTTAGCTGTGAGGTGAACATCATTTTACAAAAGGAGGATAAGGAGAGCTAGAAAATCTCAGCAACCCAAAAAACTGTCAGAGTCAACAACTGAAAGCCCTAACATCCTGATCCCCAATGTTCAAGACAGTGTCTTCTACATAATCTCATGTCTTTTTAAAGGGAGTACAGACTGCAACACCACAAACAGCTATAAAATGGCATCTTGAAGTGCCAGCGGCCATAATCTCTAGGTTACAGATTAATAAAGTATTTAGCGTATGCCAAAGAAGGATTACTCCTTTGCAAGCTTTAAATCAAATCAATGTTCCCCCTAACAGCAGCATACTTGCTTACGTATTATTACTGTTTATACTACTGTTTTTCATTTGAAGACAAAAATAGTATTTAACATCCAAAAATGCAAACCAATTTAATACAATTTATATTGGTTCCAACATAATGCACTTTTACACACAAATAGACATACAGCTCACCTTTTAAACTCTTCTGTATACTGTTATTCCCCTTTAGGAGCTTGGACCATTTTATTGCTCTTCTAGTGAGTACCACTAGATATCTGGAAAAGAATGCTTCATAGGACGCATAATCAAAGTCGTCTGGCCTTTCAAACCCATATGGATCAACCCTACAAAATAAAAAAGAATTCCTGTACAAATGTTCTTACATACCTACAGCTGAAAAAAATATATGCAGGTATGCTTTAAAAAACTTCCAGTTGGTATTTCTAAAAGCGGATCAAAACTCCCTCCTCCCAATGAAAACCTACTTTACACAAACTGCTACACTCCATTTAGCATATCAAAGCTGTTTAAGTAAGCGAATTTAAACATGCACTGTTCAGTCAGTTTTACAGATTTCACTACTTTTAGAAGTAAGGAGTTTTTAGAGCAAAGGACCCGTTGTGTGCAAAACTGACCCAAATTATGACCACACAGAAGTCTGGGAGGTATTTTTCTCTGTAATACAAACAGTTGAAAAGTATGAAGGTATAGCACAACAGCTCAAATATGGCCTGAACTCACTTTCCACACAGTTCTGCACAGAAAAATTACAACAAAAAGAACAAGTTACAAAGATTATTTTTAGAAGGGCTTATTTCTGAAATTATCTTCATGAAAGTACACGGTTTGGAAAAAAACACAAATCCTTGTGTCAACCTTCTTCATACGTAGTATCAAAAATGCTTATTTTATTATCTTTAACAATTTTTCAATGCTACATCACATTATCTCAGGCAGCACGGCACTGATGGAGCTTCAGAACTGCAAGTCTGATTCTGTTCTAGCTTGATATATCAAGTCACCTTGCTAAACTAGACTTATGGCAACTTCCCAGGATGCTTCATACCTGCTGATTATCTGTCAAGTACAGAGCACTCATAGGCTTCGTAGAAGTTAAAAAGTCAGAGGGGTCTGTCCACGCAGAAAAGTTTGCAAGACAGACATCAAGGCTTAACTTCTAAAAACACTGCTCATTTCATTCATGGAGAAGGGGTTTGCCCATGGAGCGGCACCGGCACAGCCTTGGGTAAACTCCAGCTCACGGGATCGTCACGGGTAGTAAAGCATGAATCAGAAGAGGAACATTTTAATATTCAGATCTCAGATTGGTATTACCTAATCGGCAGTCAGAAAAGTCACCTTTTTATTCATGTACTCCTCAAATTTGACACAAAAACCACAGGTGTAAAAGACACCGAAACCCCCGAAGACACAGAATGTGAGAACGCTCAAAAAATCCTAACACCTCCACGAAAACACATCTCATATTTATGTCTGCGACTGTCCAGGCAGCACGCAGAGATTAATTTCATGCTCAACTCCATTCCTGAGGTAGAAAGGGAAAATAAAGAGTCAGGAAGCTCGGTTTTAAGGAAGTTACCTTCCCTAACCTGCCTCCAGGCAGTGAAGGTTACCATTACTCCCAGGTGCCCTTAGGTTAACAGCCGCATCGTTTGCCGGGGCTCTCCCCCCCCCCCGGGGAGGAGCCCTTGCTCTCCGGAGCCCCCTCAGCCATTTTCCCGCCGGCCTCCTCCCGCCCCCGGCCGTTACCTGCCGCCGCCCCCTCATAACCCCAAGCGTTCTGGGAAGGAACGTTTCGCTCTCCCCGGGTTAACCGGCTCCAAATTCACCCTCCAGCTCGGCTCCTCTCTGTCCCAGCCCTTCGCGCTTCTCGGCAAGATACCAGCAGGGGGAAAGGCTATTGTAAGGG